TTTCATCAGGAGACACAAGCGAGCCTAAATCGATTTCATCAGGAGACACAAGCGAGTCTTCGCGACCTGGCGGATCAAATGCGTCAATTGACATCCAGGATAGAGCGATTAGCTTCTCACCTTGAAGAATTGCCCTCACAAACCAATATCAATCTTGAAGGAGATGAGAGTGCAATTATCCGGCAAAATGACATGGAACTGCAAGAGTTTCAAGGAAACGGATTTAAAGATGCAGTTGAAAAGGAAGTCGAAGTGCAAAAAATGAGACTCCAGGATCAACTCATTCAAGTGAATGAATCCAGTGAACAATCTCCAAATGCGGTGACATCCCCTCCACTCCTTCATCACTATTCTCCTGACTCTTACTCTTCAATTCCTGTTAATGAAATTGACTTTATTATACCAGACAATTTTGAATTTCATGACAGGAATAAATTAAGAGTGGCGATGGCGAGATATCTTGAACCAATAAATGCAAGTGGGGGAGGAGTGAATGGAGAATGCAAATTATCATCGACTCGTTTGGCGCCATTCACTAGTCCATGGAAGCCCGTAACTCGTATGCCCAAGGATTACTCTATTTACGAGGGCTATCAGGACTATATAGTGGATGAAGCATTAAAACGAGCCACAAGATTTTATCCTCCCTAAGTAAACGTGATAATGTCTAGCCAAAGACATTAAAAAAATGTGCTCATTGGGAGGCAACCCAATCTCTTTTGAATTGTTTGTTCAATTTCGTGTGGTAGTTTAGATGTGCACTCCTTGAATTCGACTGATTTTGGGTTTCAGTTTTGTTTTTGCTGATTTATAGGTGCCCTTCAGTCATGGCGTGCCCGCGTGGTTATGTGCAGGAATCTCACGATCAGAAACTTCTGGGAGCTCTCTTGCCCTCATGATGTGCCCGCATGGTGACGTGCAGGAAGCTCACGATCAGAAACTTCTGGGAGCTCTCTTGCTCTCTTGACGTGCCCGCGTCACGTTCGCGAGAAAGGTAAGGATTAAAAAAAAAATTAAACATTTCTTATCACCGTAGCTTTAGTTTCCAAATTTCAAAAAAAAAAAAAATTTTTTATTTTGTAAAAGGAAGATTATTTCCGTGGCTCAAAGAGCCTCATAATTGGAAGAAAAAAAAGAAAAGAAACATTTTTGGAAAAAAAAACAAACAGCAATTTCTCTCTTTTTCTTTTTCTTCTTTCTTTCTTTTCTTTCTTTTTTTTTTTCTTCTTTCTTTCTCTTTTCTTTCTTTCTTCTACTCTGTTCACCTGCTGGTCCGTCGCCCTTGCTACCCGCGCACCCCCAGCTCAGTGCCGCCCTCAGCTCTCTCTCCACCACCAGATCTACCTCTACCGCGCACCACCTTCTTCCTCGACCAGACCGCGCGACGCCGTTCCGCCTTGCCCGCGACCCAAAGCCCTCGCGCGGTCCCGACGCCTCTCTGGTCCACCGCCGCCGTCTAGCGGACATCCACCAGCCCGCATCGCCGCCCGCCAGACAGCGCCGTCCACACAGCCGCCTTCCACTCCCGCAAGCGCGGGCAGCTCGCTTCGCCTCTACTGTCTGCTACTGGCCGCACGCCCGGGACCCCAGCCAGCCGCGGCCCATCCACTGTGCCGCCGCCGCTGCCTCCCAAAGCCACGGACGCACGCCAGCCGCTGCCCGTCGATCTGTCCAGCAGCCCCTTGCGAGCGACTCAGCTTCTCAGCCGCCGCTGCTGCTCTGCACACGGAGGCCGCGGCCCTTTTCCCCTGTCTGCTGCTTTCTCCCCCTGCTCTCTCACTCTGTCCGCCGCCAACTCATATCCAACTCTGTCCGCCAGCAGCCACAGCCACTCGCCACCACGGCCACGCGCTATCCCTCTTCCATAACAGGTGGAGGTATTCACCCCTAGAACACTTATACCCAATTGTTTCCAGCACTATTTCTTGGACTTAATTGCTTGGCTGGATTGGAAAACTCCGTGGCTGCATTATCTGCTTAAATTGATTGGCATTATTTGGAGGAGTTCCCTGCTATCGGGATTGTTGTTAATTACCTATTTGAGCACCACAGGGTTTATTGGGTTGAGTGCTACATTCTTAGTTGATTGCTTTGCTTTCAAGTACTCTGTCGGTCGATATCAATTGCTCGTTTCCTTGAGCTCGTTGTTGGGACTTTGAGTTAATCAGTCCTACTTTTATTTGTTGAATTGGGAGCCTGTGCTGCTTACCTAGCTTGTTGGGGGTGATAGCATTTCGTTTAATTGTTGGGGGCATCTTAGTGATTGGTTAATATTGCACTTCTGGAGACCATTGTCTGTGACTTCGGTGGCCGGGGTTCCCACCTGGTGGATTAGTACATACTTGGGGCTATTGCTTTACCATTGCTTTGATCTGCTATAGCATTTGTTAAAATTTCTGGGGACATTTGTTGAAATTCTAGTTGGACCGAGTTTACTTTTGACTGTGAGTTGGAGTTCTCATTACTTTGGGTCAGCCGTTGGAATTGTTTCATCAACTCTGTGGGTATTTTGACTCCACTAGATTAATTCTACTCTATTGGCTGACTGCTTGGAAGCTAGGGGTTTGAGATTTAGTTGTTAATGTCAGAGTTTTCCACTACTATTGCTTGACCTGTTCACTTCTTGAGGCTCATTACTGGGGGCATTTGTTGAGTCTTTAGGTGCTATTATTGGAATATTTTATCTGGAACTAGTTAACTCTAGTTGGTTGGATATTTGATCAATTGCCAAGACCGTGTGACTGTGTTGCTATTGCTAATTCTCTACACTTCTATTGCTGCATTTAGCATATTATTGGGGCAGTTGTTATGGTTTGACTGGTGGGGGCATTTGTTGAAATTTTAGAATGCATTTGTTGAGAGTGTGGATGGCACAAGTTTGCTTGTTGACTGACTGAATTGGGTTGTCCTTGTGCTTATTGACGTGACTTTGCTAGTCCCCAGTTATTGATAATAGTTTCTGGTTGTTGATTTTGGAGGGCAATTGTTGCTTTATTGACCATATTTGGGCTTGGGTGGCCCGTGTTTGCTTTTAATTGTTGAGTTGGGGAATACCAGTGACTATGAATGTGCATTTGTGGTTGCTATCTTTGTTGGATATTCTGTCTTTTGTTGTTTGGGGTGATAATTGGCGTCAATGGTGAGTGGCGCCACTTACAAGCACAGGTTCACAACGTAGATGAGCGAATGACGAACATCACCCACCAAGTGGCAAGGATGTCTCAGAACTCGGCTTCCCTCCACTGTTCCCTCCTATCCCTTAGCTGTTCAACAGGGAAGTTTCGTTGTTCTCTTCGCTTTCATTACTTTATTACCTCCATTGAGGACAATGTAGGATTTAGGTGTGGGGGGAGCAGTTATGGTGCTAGTGTCTTTCGTTCATTTTCTTTTTCTTTTTTTTAGTGATTAGCTCGTATGGGATGCCAAGTTTGATGTTGGATTATTGCCTCTATTTCTACTTTTGCCAAGTTTTAATAATAAAAGGATATCAAGTTCATGTGGTTGAATCCAAAAACATCTCTTTGGTGAATATCGATGATTGTTTTACTCTTATAATTTTTGGTTAACATTCCTAGGCATAGGGAATGATTATTGGCATTTTCATGTGAATTGGTCCGGTTATTAACTTTAGTTCTCCATATTTAAAAATGAGACTAGCAGCTGCAAAGTTCATTTTGATTTTTGTGTTATTTTGAATTTTAGGATTTATTTGGCTGTGAATAAGAGTTGACTGTACTCCGCTAGTATTTGCTACCGAGTAACCGGGGATTTTCACCAAAAGTGTCGATTCTCGCGTCAAAAAGTAGTAATTGCTATGAGTACGTGGTCACGTGGCGATAGAACCTGAGTAACCGGACTCCTTCATCTGGCCAATGTTGGAATTCGCGTCAAAAGGCTCTAATGGCTAGCGACTAAGTCTTTTGTTACTATTGAGAAAAAAAAAGAAAAAAAAGAGAAAAAAAATAGAAAAATAGAAAAAAAAGTGAATGTTGTGTTTGTGTATATTAAAAGTCAGCTTGCTGAATTATGGATTTAATGTTGGGATTATGGTTAATAGCTGGACCATTTGCTGATAAATGTTGTGTGTCATTCCTTTTTCTTAGATTAGTTAACCTGAAATTAGAGGAATTTGTGGTTTAGAAGCTAACCGAAGTGATATTTCTTGGACTTGACCATTGATGCTTGATTATTATTTTTCTTGGTATTTTGGCAATATGGTAGATGGAGTAATGACCATTGAGGATGCTCACCTCGGCCACCCCGCATGTCCGAGGTGAACTCACATCGTCCTTCATCGAAGCTCATCCGTGTCATGGGCATAACCTCTGAGGTCGGCCAGGTCCCTAGCCTACCGTGTAGGTGACCTCGGCCCATCCACCTCGGCTGCACGCTGATGATGTCAACCAGTCTGACATCCTCCAGAGTCAGTGTGCTTTATCTGAAAAGCACTGAAGGCACTTAATGGCTACTGTACAAAGTCCCTCCGTCATGCTACCCAGACGGCTACAGTGTCAGGGTCAGGCCTCCTGCAGGGAGCCGTAATGTCAGGATGCGGGTCCCACCGGCATGAGCCCTCCGATCTGTCCTTTACTCCTACTCTATAAATACCTCTCTTGCACACCTCAAGTAAGGGACGGTTCATTTGCTTATACTTTAGCATTTTCTCGTTCTCATACTAACTTGATCGTCGGAGTGATCCCAGGGGAGAAGCCCCGCCACTCACTTCGGACAAGGAGGTTCACTTCGGACACAGGAGTTCACCTCACTTCATCTCAGAGAGGACTGATTCAGGTCGGTCGAGTTACCAACCAAAAATCACCTCTTCAATTGGCGCCGTCTGTGGGAACGAGATCACTATTAGCATGAGATCCACGCGCTCCAGAAGCGGAAGAGTTCCCTCAGCTGGGGCTGGGCAGACCTCGGGAGCCCAGCAAGACCGCATTTCTGAAGAACCAGGGTCCCAAAGGACCCAGCCCAACAATGAGGAGGCCATCGCCAAGATGGCCGAGTTTGTCACGGACAACCCCAACATCTTTGAGGAACTAGGAAGGTACCTCAAGAGGCAGGGAAAAGAAAAAGCCGAGTCTTCCAAGAGGAGACCGACGAAGTCCCCTGAAGTGCCCTCAGGCGAGGACTCCGAAGATGGGCGTCTATCTCGGAGCACCTCCAGGCGAGCCTCATCCAAGGCAACCTCCAAGATTGCCTCCATCTCCCGAGCGTTTTCTCGGGGACTACTGGGAAAACGAGCCGAGGACCCACCTCGGCGTCCCGGAGGCCTATCTTCTGATTACATGAGGGCTCCGCCCTTCACTGATGACATCAACGGGGAAATGGTGCCCCCGAACTTCAAGCTCCCAAACCTGCACACTTATGATGGCCGAGGTGACCCCGAGGATCACCTCCGCGCCTTCATCTCCGCATTCCGACTCTACTGCGTCCCCGACGCCGTGATCTGTCGGGCTTTTCCCATCTTCTTACATGGGACTGCCCGAAAGTGGTTCTGGAGTTTAGAACCGGGGAGCATTTCCTCCCTGGATGAGCTGATAGACCGGTTCATCCACCGCTTTGTGTCGTCTCGACCAATAACAAAGACTTCAGCTTACCTCTTGAACCTGCAACAAGGTCAGGGCGAGTCACTTCGCTCATACGCCCAGAGGTTCAACGAGGAGAATGTACAGATACCTGATCAGAACGAGCAGGTAACTATTGCTGCCTTCACCAACGGGTTAGTGGCAGGGATTTTCAATACCGAAATCCATCGGGAATACCCTCGTACATTTCGAGAGTTTTGGGAAAGAGTGGACCAGGGAATCCGAAGTGAGGATGTGAACCGGATGAAACGAGAAGCCCAAGCATCCCGTACGGGACAAGACCCCCGGAGGAGGAAAGATGCAGGCCGAAGTGACCCTGGCCCAAGTGGCACTTCAACCCAGCTCCGAGACCGCCGGAGTGTCTTCGACCGGATCGTGAAGGGAAGATCGTCCACCTCGGACGCCGAGCTGACGCCGCTAAATTCCACCCGATCCCATGTCTTGGCTATGATGAGACAGAACCACCTCGGCCGAACCCCTCCTGAGATCCCGGGAAGAAGGGATAAGAGGAATTCCAACCTCTACTGTGTCTACCACAGAGATGTGGGGCACGAGACTGAAGACTGTAACGACTTAAAGCGAGAGATTGAAAACTTGATCCGACAAGGATACTTGAAGCAATTCGTCCGCAAGGATGGTGGCTTCAACCGAAGCGCCTCCCACCGGGAGAGCCGAGGTCCCCGCCGAGAGGACAGGCGGGATACGAAACTTCATTGCCGAGGTCCCGAGGAACCTAAGGGGGAACAGAGACCTCCACGCGATAGATCACCAGGCTACGGCCCAAACATCGCCGGGGTGATCAACACCATCTCGGGTGGCCCCACGGGAGGGGACAGTCAGAACTCCCGGAAACGGACATACCGCCAGGCCGGCATGGAAGCTGCCGAGCCGAGCTCACGGTTATCCGAAATGATCACCTATGGTCCCTGCGACCCCGTCCCCGCCGCCTCCAGCAATCACGAGGCCCTCGTGATTGAAGTCCTTACCAACAATTACATAGTCAAGAAGGTCTATGTGGACCCCGGAAGCTCGGTAGATGTCCTGTACTACCGAACTTTCGAGAGTTTGAATCTGACTCGGGAGCAACTCACTCCGGTCAGAACTCCCCTTGTCGGCTTCGGGGGACACATCGTCCACCCGGAGGGGATGGTGAACTTGATGGTGACTATCGGGCGCCATCCCCATTGCCGAACCGTGCCTGTCAGCTTTGCCGTGGTCAAAGCAGACTCTCCTTACAACATGCTGATAGGCCGGCCCACGCTCAACGCCTTGAGAGCCGTATACTCCACCTACCACCTGAGTTTTAAGTTCCCAACACCCGCAGGGGTGGCCGAGGTGAGCAGCGACGTGGGCGCCGCCCGAGAGTGCTACCTCGCCAGCATTCAAGCAGCAGTCGCACGTCGGCCCTTGCCGAGGTCAGAAGACAAGAGGCCGGCTGTCCTCTCCATAGACTGCATTGACCCTCACAAGGCAGGAGAGCCCAGCAGGTTTGAGCCCGGGGATGAGGTGGAACAAGTGGTCTTGGATGAAGCCAAACCTGACCAAGTGGTCCAAGTAGGGGCCGGACTCCCCTCCCCCCTGAAAGAAAAAATGATCTCCCTGATCAAGGACCACCGGGACATCTTCGCGTGGTCCGCAGATGAAGTGGTCGGAGTGCCACCCGAACTCATGACTCACCAACTCAACGTTAACCCACAGGCCCGACCTGTGCGGCAGAAACGAAGGCACTTCGGCCCCGAACGCAGCAAGGCCATATCGGATGAGGTCGACAAGCTCTTGCCGGCCAAGATGATCCACGAGGTCCAATATCCCACCTGGCTGTCCAACCCCGTTATGTTAAAAAAGGACACCGGTGGATGGAGAATGTGTGTGGACTTCACCGACCTCAACAAGGCCTGCCCCAAAGACTGCTATCCTCTGCCGAGGATAGACGCCCTCGTCGATTCGGCGATGGGGTATGAGATCCTCTGCTTCCTAGATGCCTTCAAAGGGTATCATCAAATAGGAATGAGTGAAGAGGACCAAGAGAAGACGGCGTTCTACACCGACCAAGGTGTCTATTGCTACACTACCATGCCATTTGGGCTAAAGAACGCCGGGGCGACCTACCAGAGGTTGATTAACCGCCTCTTCAAAAATCAGATCGGCCGCAATGTGGAGGCATATGTGGATGACATTCTCGTCAAAATCCTCGCCACTTCATCCTTCCTGTCAGACTTGAGGGAAGTCTTTGGTGTCCTGCGAGACTCGAGGATGAAACTGAATCCCAAGAAGTGCGTCTTCGGCGTCACCTCGGGAAAATTCTTGGGGTATCTAGTTTCCCACCGGGGAATCGAGGCCAACCCCGACAAAATCAAGGCCATTCAGGACATGTCCCCACCTCGGAACGTCCGAGAAGTCCAAAGGTTGAATGGACGCCTGGCCGCGTTGAACCGCTTCCTGTCCCAATCAGCTGAGAAAGCTCTGCCCTTCTTTAAGGTGCTCAAGAAGGCAGATCAGTTTGCCTGGACCGAGGATTGCCAGGCCGCCTTCGACCAGCTGAAGCAGTACCTCCATCACCTACCCACTCTCGCTTCACCTCGGCCCGAGCAGAAGCTCTACCTCTACCTCTCGGCAGCCGACGAGGCTGTTAGCGCCTTGCTTATCCGAGATGAGGGCACCCAAGTGCCAGTTTACTATGTCAGCCGAGCTCTCCGCGGGCCGGAGACTCGATACACTCGGGTGGAAAAACTGATACTGGGACTAGTCCACGCCGCTCGGCGGCTGAAGCCCTATTTCTTAGCTCATCCCATCTCTGTCAGGACCGACCAGCCCATTCGGCAAATATTGGTGCGGCCCGAAGCTTCTGGTCGCCTCACCAAGTGGGCTGTGGAATTGGGAGAGTATGACTTGTCCTATGAACCCCGCACCGCCATAAAAGCACAAACCCTAACCGATTTCCTGGCCGAGCTGACCTTCACGGAAGGTCCGGAGTCCACCTCCGCCAAAGCCGAGGTGTCCACCCCATCCACATGGACACTGTATGTCGATGGGTCCTCTAATGGAGATGGCAGCGGTGCCGGACTTCTTCTGGAAGGACCTCAGGGAGAGGTGTGCTCCTACGCCCTCCGCTTTGGCTTCCCGGCCACCAATAATGAAGCCGAGTACGAGGCCTTAATTGCTGGACTCCAGCTGGCCCGCAAGCTCGGCGCCCAGCAAATCCACGTCCGCAGTGACTCCCAGCTCGTTGTACGCCAAGTCCTTGGTGAATACAAAGCCAAGGATGAGATCATGCAACGGTACCTCACCAAAGTTCACCAACTCACCGCGTATTTCGGGTCGTTCGAAATCCAAAGAATACCCCGGTCCCAGAATAAGCGAGCCGACGCCTTATCCCGGCTGGCTTCCACTTCATTCTCTGACCTCAACAAAACAGTCTTGGTGGAGGTCCTGAGTGAACCAGGATACGTGGAAGAGGTGGCTTGCCCCGTGCACTCTGAAGAAACCTGGATGACCCCGTTCATCCTTTTCTTGGGTCAGGGAGCCCTCCCTGAAGACCGAGCCGAGGCAAGAAAAATACAACGCAAGGCGGCTCGATACGCTCTCCGCGATGGAGAGCTGTACAAACGCTCCTACCTCGGCCCATGGCTGAGGTGTGTCACTCCCGAGACAGGACGCCACGTCCTCCATGAGATCCACGAAGGCTTGTGTGGAGCTCACGTCGGCCACAGAATGCTAGCCAAGAAGGCATTGCTTCTTGGATATTTCTGACCCTCAGTTCGGCAAGACGCCCAGGATCTCGTTCTCGGCTGCCCTTCCTGCCAAATCCATGCACCCGAGCATCACCAGCCCTCAAATTTCATGGTCCCCATCACTTCACCTTGGCCATTTGAGCAATGGGGGACAGACATCATAGGTCCTTTCCCTAAAGCCGTCGGGGGATATACCTTCCTGGTGACCGCTGTGGACTACTTCACTAAGTGGGTCGAGGCCGAGCCACTTCGGACCATCTCGGGGCTGGCCATTCAAAAATTCTTTTGGAAATGCATTATCTGCCGATTCGGCATACCTCGGATCATCATCTCGGACAATGGGAGACAGTTTGCCGAGAACCCGTTCAAGACATGGTGCGAGAACCTCGGCATCAAACAACACTTCACTTCGGTAGGCCACCCTCAGGCCAATGGTCAAGCAGAAAACTTCAACCGAACTCTCATGTATGGTCTCAAGACCCGACTAAATCGAGCAGGAACGTCTTGGGTGGAGGAACTCCCCAGTGTCCTGTGGTCGTATCGAACCATGCCGAGGTCAGCGACGCAAGAGACACCATTCTCCCTGACCTACGGCGCCGAGGCCGTCATCCCTGCCGAGATCCTGACACCCAGCCCTCGGCTGGCAGCCTATGCCGCCGAGGTGAACGACGAAGAGAGACAGCTGGACCTCGACCTCGTCGAAGAACGAAGGGACCTCGCCTCAGCCCGGATAGCTTCCTACAAAAACGCACTGGCACACTATTACAATGCCCGCGTCAAACATCGGAGATTCCAACCTGGAGACTTGGTTCTGAGGAAAAACTCAGTCAGCCGAGCTGAGCCACAAGGCAAATTGTGCCCGAAATGGGAAGGCCCCTACCGGGTTGTCGAGTCTAATCTTAAAGGATATTATAAACTAAGCTACCGAGATGGCTCACTAGTACCGAGGTGTTGGCACGCCGAGAACCTCAAATTGTATTATGCTTGAAGTTATGACTTCATTCAGTTATTTCATCAAAGTTGACTTCATCCAGTTATCTTGTCGAGTTATGACTTCAGCTATTTAGTTATTTTTCAACAGTATGATGCCCAGCAAGCAAATATTAAAAAATAAGGGGGACAAGCAAGGGACGAAACAAGAAATTGAAAGAGCCGAGATGAGAAGAAGTAGATGTTCCATTCAATAAAAAGGGATTACAAAGAATACAAGACCGAGGTCAGAGTCCTACTAAGCACTCCTCACCTCGGCCACCTCCCTAATGACTAAGGGCCTAGACCCCCGTCTCAGCTCCTTTCCCCGCCTCGGCCCCATCCTGGGCAGCCTTCTCTCCGGCCTCTTCTCCACCGGGGTGAACATCTTCTCCCCCGCCGGGGTGAATCCCATCTCCCCCATGCTCTTCGCCGATGTCCCCTCCGGCTTCGTCTCCCCCAGCTTCCTCTCCTTCAGCTTCTTCCACTTCCACCTCCTCGAACACTTCGTCGAGTTCGGACAGCCACTTGTTGAACTCGACCTGGACTTCGGCCAAGTTCCTTCCTGCCTGGATGCCTTCGGCCATCCGATCGCATAGCTCCTTGGAGTCCTCGTTATAGCTGGCATGATTATTCAGAGACTCCAAAACTTCGGAGGGGAGGTGAGCCGCAGCCTCGTCTACGGCTGAGGTGAAGCCAAACATGAAGTTCGGTGTGAGTAGCTGCCCGAGATCCTTGATGAAGGTCTCGGACCTTCGAAATGTGTCCACCGCCGAGGCTCCAGCACTGTTGAGGGCTTGCTCGTGGGACTTCTTCACCTCGTCCCCCCTCTTCTGCTCTTCTTCAAGGGCCGACCTGAGGCTGTTGACAGTAGCCACGGCCTCCTCATCCTTCGCCTCGGCCTTCTTAAGCCGTCTTTCAAGTTCGGCCTTCTCAGACTCGGACACCGCCAATTTCTTCTCCAACTTGGAGATCTGATTCTGCAACTTGCCGGTGTCCTGCTCATCTACCAGAGCACAGTACCGATGAGACATCTCGGCCACAAAGGCCGAGGTGGAAGCTGTGGACACCATGAGGCTCTGGACCATCTCAGCCGGAGTCAGTTTCTTCATGAATTCCAAATCCCTTGGCAAGGGGGAGTGCATTACTAGCTCTTGGGCGACCCGAGGATGCTGGCACCTGTCGTTGACCGAAATCTTCCAGTTCGGACACCAATGCCCGCCGGAGTGCGTCTTCTCGTCTCCGGGAAACACTGGGGGGCTATGGAAACGATTCCATAGCGAGGTCCCCGACACCGGATTGACTGGAGGCTTCAACTGCTTGCCTCGGCCCGAAGGAGGTGTGACTGTCGCAACAACTCCAAAAGGAACTCCCTCTGGCATAGATGAGGTGGACCCAGTAACCGCGGTGGCCGAGCTGCTCTGGCCAACATTGGTGGGAGTGCCTTTAGCCGCCGAAATCTTAGTGGCTGGTCCTTGTGACTTCTTCTTCTTTGGCGGAGGTGCTGATGTCTCGTCAGTGTTCTTCCTTTTCTGCCTCTTGGCCACTTCGGACGAGCCAGAGACGACGAGGTCGGACAGTTTAGTCACTGCACAAGAAACAAATATTATCATACGCCTTAGCCGAAGTGAAAGCAAAGCTACGAAAGAAAAATTACAAGGTATCCCAAGTTCAGTGGAAAAGAAGGGAGGCTTGGTAGTATTGATCACAACTCGGCTTATTCCCCCATCAACGAGCACGACTTCGGGGTAGTCATGGCTGAACAGCCGAAGGTCCGACTTCATCAACTTTTGGAAGGACTTCTCTTCGGCATCCCCCGCAGAGGGGTCGGCCTTTGCCTTGATTGGTCTCCACCAAAAACCCCTAGGGAAGTCCACTCCGGACACGAAGAAGTAGTCGCGCTTCCAATTTTTGATCGAGCTGGGAGCACCAATCACCAACTTCGGGATAGCATTGTTCCGATTGCCAACATAAAACCATCCCTTATCCGTCGCGTGTGCCTTGAGGGTGTAGCATCGGCGGAAGAGGTAGACGGAGGGAGTCACCTCCTGATGTCGGCACAGCATCTCGAACCCCACGATGATGCGGACCGCATTCGGGGTGAGCTGGGTGATCCTCACATGGAAGTGACGAAGCAAATCCCTGAAGAACCTCGACGTCGGCATCCTCAACCCGGCCTCCAGCTGTTGAACATAGACGGCCACCATGCCATAGGGGGGTTTCGCGGTTGTGTCATCCACCTCGGGCGGCAGAATTTCGTACCCCGACCGGAATGGGTACTTGTTAACTACCTTCTGGGCCCTATCTCTTCCTACGCGACTCCTAAACTTCGGCATCTTTCCGAAGTCAATGTTGGCCACATTTTTAGGAGCAACGGGCTCCAATACGTTCTCATCGTGCGGTATCTCGACGCCGAGCTCTTCGTTATAGTCCACCACGGAATCATCTTCGCTCATCTCGGACGACTCCAACTCCGAGGTTGTCTCTCCGACCCTCACCTCGGTCGACCCCTCCTCTGAACTCGGCGTCGACCCTTCAGAGCTGGACGTCGTCGCTTCTTCCTCAGGATCCGGCCTCACCTCGGTATGGTAGCTCGGTGTCACGGTGTCTTTGTTGGTTTTAGCCGTTTTGGCCATGAGTGAAAGATGAGATAAGAAAGAAAAGGGATACTATTGTCTACGGAACTGGACGAAGTGGATGACTTCGACTGTGACTTCGGCTGGAAAGATTGATCTCGGCAACACGCAAATTTTGCAAGTCGCAGGCAAAGAAAAAGTGATGGGCCCTTCAGTGAAAAAGACCCCCTATTTATAGGAGTCCGAGGAGAACCGAAGAGGCGGCAAGAATGCGAAAAGACGGCCACGTCCGAATTCAAAACGCCGTGCCTCCCTCTCTCCTCATTAATGACCCGTCCTTTCGACTGACACCCCATCATTGCGAAACGTTCCACTACTTCACGACGTGACGGTTGCGTGTCAACTGACCCTCCACGTCCTGTCAACTGACTCGCCCACGTGTCACGTCCCCGCATCTTCCGGAGCAGTTTCGGGACCCCGACTCTTCATGACTTCGGCACAAGGAAGCCTCGGTACCTCCCTGGCCCGGAGCTCCCCAGGCTTGGGGGGCTTATTGAGGATGCTCACCTCGGCCACCCCGCATGTCCGAGGTGAACTCAGATCGTCCTTCATCGAAGCTCATCCGTGTCATGGGCATAACCTCTGAGCTCGGCCAGGTCCCTAGCCTACCGTGTAGGTGACCTCGGCCCATCCACCTCGGCTGCACGCTGATGATGTCAACCAGTCTGACATCCTCCAGAGTCAGTGTGCTTTATCTGAAAAGCACTGAAGGCACTTAATGTCTACTGTACAAAGTCCCTCCGTCATGCTACCCAGACGGCTACAGTGTCAGGGTCAGGCCTCCTGCAGGGAGCCGTAATGTCAGGATGCGGGTCCCACCGGCATGAGCCCTCCGATCTGTCCTTTACTCCTACTCTATAAATACCTCTCTTGTACACCTCAAGTAAGGGACGGTTCATTTGCTTATACTTTAGCATTTTCTCGTTCTCATACTAACTTGATCGTCGGAGTGATCCCAGGGGAGAAGCCCCGCCACTCACTTCGGACAAAGAGGTTCACTTCGGACACAGGAGTTCACCTCACTTCATCTCAGAGAGGACTGATTCAGGTCGGTCGAGTTACCAACCAAAAATCACCTCTTCAACCATTGTCAAATATTGGTGTTTATTTGATGTTCTCATGCTTGAGGGCAAGCATGGTCTAGGTGTGGGGGGAATTGATAGGTTGCAATTTTATCATTTATTTTGTTATTAATTTTCCCTATTACTTAACCTAATGTGAATTAATTGTTAGATTCTACTCACTTTTAGTATTTTACATATATTTCAGGGAGTAGAATGAAAATACCATAATAAGTGCCGATTTGACAATTATCAGGAAAGAGTTCAAGTAGCAGGCAGCCAGGGCATTTTTGGAACAAGGAGATACAAGGCCTTTTTGGTAATTCGCAGAGCGCAGCATTAAAAGGAGGAAC